AGACCAAGCCAACTTGAGAAATTCGCGCTCACAGACTGACTTCAGTCTGGAAGCCCTGTCGCCGGCACACAAGCCCCAAAAAAACACCCCCCCCCCCCTTTTGCTCGGGACAGCCTCGCTGCGGCGTGAAGCGACCTCAAGCGCCTCATTGTTGAAGACAAAGATTCCAAACCGAGGTCTGGAATTGCCACAGAACAACTCTCTGAGAATTGAAGACCTACAGAAAAAAACTTGACACGCATAGACTTTTCGGTTCATTTTCGATTCCACACTAGGACAAGACATGACGCATCCAAGCAAGTTCTGGCTGGTGACCTGCATCAAGCGCTCGTCGTAGGTTTGATTCGAGGCACACGCATGCCCTTTCTTCAGCTGTTTCAGATGAGGAGGTAGCTTCCGGCGGGCCAGCGCACACGCACTATGACTTCACAGGTGCCTCAGGACCGTTGGCCCCCTTGGCCCCTGACCGAATACGAGCGTCCATCATCGTGGAACTCGACTGCCTTCGGATCGGCGGAAAATTCCTTAGCACTCGGCAGCAGTGGTCTCAACGCAAAATCCGCCCACAACAGGGCGAAAGTGTACCCCTTCGCTTGGTGGTCCGAGGCCCTACCCCCTGGTCGCCAAACAAAAAGCCGCTTTCTGCCTCAGCACACCCTACGAGGACTCTGTATGCTATATGTGCCCTTTATAGAATCTCTTCCATGACCCGCCTTGAACCCCTACAGGCCCCCCTATGGGCCGTCGCTGGACTGTTTACGGGCCCAAAACCCAAACCCGAAACCCTCAACCCGATTCGATGCCTACCTGTTACCTGCTGCGGACTTTATGAAACCTATATTAACCTCCTCAATGAGCCCCGCTGGGTGGCCCTGTGGCCAGGCCTCTATGCCTGAGAGCTTTGGGAAACCTTCTGGTGGAAAGTTGAGCTCGAAGGTCTGTAGAGGTTTCGGCTTCGCAGCCCTAAATAGATGCTTCGGTGCTTTAGGGTTCGACGTCGTCACATAGGAAAGTTGGGGCGGGGAGCGTTAGCGTTATCAATATTACAAAAAGCCTACCATAGCATGCACACTTTATGTCATGTAGCCATCATGACGAGTTAATGGAAAACAGAACATTGGAAACATTGATCATACGAGTTCCTAGCTTGTGTCTGTGTAAAGCTCTTGGCGTCATGGTGCTGGTACATTGTATCAGGCCCTGGCCTAGGCGTGGCTCAGCACATCAAACTGCTAGTCTTGGCCGAACCCATCTCGAAGCCATGTCTCCAACAGCTTTGCCGTCAGCAAAAGCGCTGGATCCTTGCGTGCAAGGCTGGCTGCCATGTGCATCCCACGAGCACAGCAACAGGCCAAGTAAGCATCACGGAAGCAACAGCTGAGCTGCTTCGGCACTATCATTGGCGGCCACCGCGAGCATTCACGAGCATGCGACATAGTCACAAACAAGGTGGATGCCTCTGCAACGCAGCAGGCCGCAAGGCCAAGGGCCGTCAAGGCCGGGCGCTGGGTGGAGGGCAGGCTGCGCAGGTTTACCTGCGAAGATTTTGAGGGTCGATTAGGGCCCTTCTGGTATTAGGGTCGGAAGTTCAGGCCGCAGCTCCGCTGCTCCGCACAGAGCCTCGAAATGCCCTACCACCTCAACCTCAAAAGCAAGCTTCAAATCCAAAAATGTTGTCGATCCTCGGCGCCCGAGTGCAGCAGCACTGCCAACCGCCGTGCATCGCCCTGGGCCAAGAGAACAACCCAATACTACACTGCCTGAAGAATCCCAAACCTACTGTATAGGTTACCTAAGACCTGAGACTCTAATAAGTGAAAGACCTGCGACAAGGTCTGGGCCTCTTGGGTTCTTAGATCTTACTTGATGTAAACTCTACGTGCAAGTTGTCTCTTAAACATCCTTGAGCCCTGAAACCAGCATGTCAAGAACCTGCGCAGCTGCGCAACAGCTCCATCAACTTGGAGGAGCTATTGAATTCGCCGATTCTTTCGGTCTGGAGGCGAGATCGACTACGAACAAAAGCCGCAGCAAAGTTCGGAGGTCTGTCCCAAGTAAAGCCATCGCGAGAAAGCTGAAGTCTTGAGAAACAGCAGCCACGCTCACACCCACGGCACTAGAACAAATGAATGGCGTTAAAGTTCTGTTTGTGCTCCTGAACACCTGAACACTCAGGCCTTGAAATCATGAGAAGCGTTGTTGCTTCACGAAGCATCAGGACACAAAGCTTAAAGTTGGCTTAACGTTGGCTCAAAGAGAAGGCAGTGAATACTTCGGCCAACCCAAAGCATGGAAAGGCCTGCAAAGTTCGGCGGTGTAGGGCCGAAAAGCCATGAGAGTCGAGGTCGTCCTCCCATGGACCCGTAACCAGCGGACCGAAGCCCTGGGCCCGAAACCTCTACGATAACTTTGCTTGCCTCTCCTAGCAAGCACCAGACGGCCTTCTCCACTGACACCAAATCTTTGCATAGTTCCTATATGTAGTTCCTGTTGAAGGCTTATCATGGCCTATCTCTCAAGCTCCAGAGAGCATTGGCGAAAACACTATCCTCCGAACTTGCAGCCTCCCATTCACTCCTTTTCTGCGAAGACGACCTCCGGCTTTTTGGGGAAGTCCTGCGGTGAGCAGCTAGCTGTGCTTTTTAAGGCTTGGACAGTTAGGACGCAGCATTGGAGCAACACAAGGGTACGAAACATTTGTAGCTACGAGCTTACTCGGCACTGAATGATGGTTTGCCCTGCAGCACTACTCTGCTTCGAATCACAGACGAAACGACCCGGGCCCGGACCTTTGGATCCCTGGACGCAGCCTGAAAGCAAACTTCTTGGATGGCCGGAGATGCTGGGAGCTGTCAACACGCGACCCATTACAGCATTTACATCCTATGACCCTTCGAGCCCGGACAACCTCTGAGCACCCTTTGCACAAAATCTAAAGGGTCAAGCCGCTGGTCCTCTGGAAGAGCCGCCAATTGCCCAGCGGCATCATTCCATTGGAGATTCTGGTTCTCAAAGGCCTTCCTGCACATTCAGGCGGAGGCCAGGGGGCTGAGCGCCAAACGTGTTCAAACGAGCATCCGGGGCTCGGGTCAAGGTCCAGATCTCTGAGTGCTCGGAAGCAAAATTGCAAAGGATCCACACAACATTCAGGCTACTGTTGGCAGCCGCATGCATAGCTTAACGCCTTTGCTCAGGGGAGCCAATCACCAATCAACTCGTTGGTTAGCTCTGGTTCTTATGCCCTGACATCGCTGCACGACACAATGGGACGTGGACCACCTGCTAGGCAAAGGCTCCGCAGTCACTACTATATAAGCACTAATTATAAGCACTGACAGCCCGTCTGCGCAATGCTAAAACCTAAACTGCCCTTCCATCTGTTGCAAGAGTGCACCCACAGCAAGAGCTGTCTGGTGCCTCATGATATCCGTCCGCACCTGACATGGTCAAAGGCAATTTGCAAACATGCAGGCACCAGAAGGCTTTTGCCCGTATTGGGTATGAGCCACTCGCAACGCCAACACTCCACGAGCGGCCACTTTGTAACCATCTAACCATAGCAGAAAAGTAAAGGCATGTCAACGCCAATACCCGCCTCCAGCAAGTCTTCGTTCGGGTTCGGGAGCCCGATGCTCAAAGCCACGACCTCAAACAAAATGTTTTGCCATCATGCCACTACCATGCCGGAGCTGGTGTGGAGGCGTATTATGGTTTCAGGGGTTTACGTTAAACAGGCTAGGCTCATGGCTCAGACTTGAAGCTCAAAGTGCCCTTCAACATGCTTAGAGTGAGATGTTCAGGGTCCTTCACAGAGATCTCTGGGTTCCCTGAAGCGGTTAGGCATCACAGACGTCTTGGCGCTCCAGCAAGCTCAGCCTTGCTGGCATCCACATCCGTGGGCATACTCCTGGAAGAAGGGCAGTGCACCGTCATACAGCCGCAACACATAACACATCCTTCCTGCAAGCAACTTCACGACGAAAATGAAAACAAAAAACGCAGCAAGTCTATGTCTTTTAAACATCCTTGCAAACTGGGAAAAGAACGAGCAGCGTCGCTTGTCTTGGCAGCGGTGGGAATTATGTCGGAGTATGACGACCATGAGGTTGTGAAGAAGCAATTATGATACTAATGACAGTCCAGCTTTTGTTCGGGCCAGGCCCTCTCCATGGTGCCTCAAGGCTGACTTCTTTGTCTACCGTTTGAGCTTTGAAAACCATACTTCTGCAGATGCCCATGGCCTGCAACCAAAGATTTGGCGCGAGACTTCGGTTTGAGATTGACATCTCAACATTCATGCGAGTAAAGCTGCGTAAGTGGACCCTGGGCCCCTTACTTAAGAAGCCCACGAGAAATAAAAACTGAAGGGTTGCAGGTATTGGAAGCTTGGGAGACAGCATTATGCGACATTTCATCATGTCTTGAGACACATTCTCGCCTGTTTGTTTTGATGAGTTTTGAGGAGGCATCTGGATCCAGCCAACCGCCGTGGCCAACGAAAGACAAGCTCGGCATTCCTTTCTTGGCTGTCTGTGCATGCCTGTGCCGTGGAGCCCATGTCAGGTCAGAGCCTAGATTCTCAAAACTAGTAGTTTACGACAGAAAGAAGCTTCAAGGAAGTAGTTGCAGAAACCATGAGGCCCAACAACCAAGTTGAAAAACCCGGCATTGTACTGGCATCGTCCTTTGGAAAGGAACGCTTCAAATGCATGTTTCCTCCGCCTACTCTGGGCATCCTAGGTGCCTCGTCGTGCTGCTGCAAGAAGCATCACGCGTCCAGGAATGGTCATTCTGCTACGCCGCCCAAAATCATTCCAAAATCCACACGCTACTCTACGTCCTGGCCGTCGACGCGATGTCGATGCATGACAGGCACCACAGAGGGTGTCCACAACCAACGTATCCAAGAATATCTGTTCAACCCTTAACTCCAAACCCAAGGCGGGCCGAATGCAGCGAAGAGCCCTGCAAGTCTACAAAAACAAGCCTACCTGGTTACTTCATGCCGCGGGCGCGGGGGGGAACTCATGAGAACTATCGAGAGCAGGAGTGACCCGGGCACTCGTCCTCAAGGAATGGAACCGGCCGCCAGGGACATAGACGACAGAGCCTGCCGAAATTACCTGACAAGAAACTGGACAAGGTCGAAGCCATGCAAACACAGAGGCCTGGAAGCCTTTTATGACGTTAGGACGGAGGAGAGGATTATCAAATCGCTGCCATGGGGGTGGAGGTTGTATGTGTTGCTTTCGGCAGCCAGGAGCACTTGGTCCTGAACAGGCATGCACCTGTGTGTTTGTTGAGTTTTGCTTCGGCATGTTGTGCCATGCACCTTCACCCATTCCGCTGGAGCTCTGACGGCTTCCGTTGGGGAGTCGGACCTGTGGTGTGGCATCAGTCGGGCACTCTGCGGTGAAATGAGTGGATTTGCAGCCGAAGGTTTCGACTTTCGTCGAGCCTAGTTGCATACTATCGGACCATTCCCTCAAAAACACTCCAACACAAAGGATACATGTGTGTACCCAACTACAGCAACCACAGTCGCAGCTGTGCATGGATTGCATCCAAGTGGCCTTGTCCAAGGTGACTCTGCTGCCAGGGAAGTGCCCTGCAACACGCACCCTTTTGGTGCCGTTGAGGACATAGATTAGAGCATCCACAGTGTCCTCAGTCCGACAAGTAAGCTTTCTCTTGCCCCGCACATTGAGCCTGTTCATGACGTATCGTTGGACGCATACACGACTGCTCTCAGCTCTCCTGCACTGGAGTCGACTGTCTGAAATCTTCCATGGCTCTGTGTGCCAGCCGTATGAATTCACTGGCCGTCGACCGACACGGGAGCAGTACAGGTCCACAGAGCCTGATGGCAAAGCAAAAGACTCGAACCACCCGCCGAGCATGTCGGAAGGCTTCATTGGATCTGTTGAAGCTTCACTTTAGGGATCTCTCGGGTGCTCATGCCAATGCATGACCAATAATTAAAACTGTTGAAGAACATGGACCTCTCTACACTGGCGGGTTAGGCAAGATATGTTTTCATCTTCACTTCACACGCTGCGAGTGTTGCTTTCGCGTCGCCGATTCCCGCCACTCGAGCATCTTTTTGGAACTGAGGCTTAAGCTGCAAGAGCAAATGACATCAAATGAGCCACTCCCTGGAAGCATCACCCGCTCCGATTGGAAGCATCGCCTCAAACCTGCAGAATCATGTGCCTACGACGCCAAGTGTGGCGTACAGCTTCGGCAGCCATTCTTGAACGGGGCTTAGACCTTGGATGCTGTAACCCAAGAAACTAAGAAAAAACAAAGCTATGTCGATCGTGTGCAATATGGCGCAATGCGCCACTGGAAGCCTAACGGAGTACTAGCGTAGAAGTGCGTGTGCACATTCAATGGCAATCGCAGCGGATCCTATTTTAATTGACACAGCAGACATGCAACTCCAGCTTCTCTGCACGCCAAAAACCCTTGCAAAAAAGTTGCGATTCATGCCCTCCACGGCAAATGCCCGACCAGGTGGAGCATGCATATTTGTCCAAAAGCCTGGGATTCAAGCATTGCAAGTTACACATGGACACCACAATAGACGCACAGGTTAACTCATGCTGACCTCCGGAACCAAGCATCAAGCCTTCCAGGTCGCACAGACCAAGCCAGAAGAGTGCGTCGAATGAGAGGGCTTTCAAGTGTGTGAGCTTAGGGTCTGCCACTATCATCGCGTTTCCAGTATGCTAGTTTTTGGTACAGCAAACCTGGTCACTCTGCCAGGCAGATTGAAGGTCTGAATTGCACTCTCCTCGAAATTCAGAAGCCTCCCCCATCCTTCGCGATGTCGGGGCTGTGTCGGAGTCGGCTGGGCTGCACAGGAAATATGTGAGGTCGGTTGATCTCCCCTATAAATACCCCCTCCGTTGATATGCTTTGCGGGCGGCCGGAGTCCTCCAAGCTCCAGGGGACTTTATTCGCCCTTCAACATCCTTCAACCATCCTTCAACCGCTTCAACCTCCTTGCAGCCCTCGCTGCGGGCAGTTGCCACGGGAGGACCCCGCCGAGAGCCATCGGGAAGGGTCTGGTTGTAGGGCCGCCTGGAACGGAATTCAGGACACGGACTTGACTCTGCTCGGCCTCCACTGGCAACATCTGGCAACATCTGGCAACCTATTCCAATTCGAAGAAGCCCACTGCGGAACTAACATGGCACTGCTTGCCACCATCCTGGCGCTTTAACTTTCTTCTCCAGACCTTCAATGTCGACTGTCATTGGCTGCCCAGCGGCTCGACAAGGCTCCACAGCAGATCCTCCGAGTTTTCCACCGGGTGAGGTACCAGAACCTGCGTCGCAGTGCTAAACTCACGCGGCATTCGGGCTTTACTCCCCATATCGTCAATGAACCCCAACTGGAACCCCGGAATCCAGTTTCCCGTGCATCGAGCTCCTTGAAGTTGAGCTCTTCAAAGGCCTCCGCCGTATCTAAGGCCCAGACCTTGGCTCCAATGCTTTCCGATAAATGCTTGGGCAGCTTTGGGTACTTCTGGGCACTTTTGGGGTCTGCTTGGACTGAGCTCAGCCATGAAAGGGCAGCCATGCCTCAGCATGATTTCTCAGAGACCCCGGGCAGCATGAAACTGCTATTGCTGAAGCTCCTCGGAAAGGATGACATATCGTTACTAATCTGCGTAGAGTGCGACACTTCTCAAAGCACCACATCCCAGGACGCACCATTCTGGGATACCAATTCATAACCCTAACGAGACTTGCAGATAGCAGTGTTGAAAATCTGTGGCGACTTGTGAGACAGCAAAGTTCGAAAAACTGCAAGCAACTCGGGGATAGCCAAGGTGTGCGCCTCCCACGGCTGATCTTCAACGACCTTTAGCCTGGGCTGCACAGCCGTTCTGGGCCCCATCATGGTCTCGGGATGTCATAACATCTCAAATGGCCACGATTCACATCGATTCACCCTCCAGCCTGAATTATCTGACTTGTTTTTTGGGACTGTGGAGGTGGGGAGGTCAGTTCAGGCATGTTCAGAGTCTGCAGTCTTGCACAGATTCTCGGCTGCATCCGGCGGCTGCACGTGGACTGTACACGTGCATGTGCCGCTCGAGTAACAAATGCGAACATGTGCTTGAGACCTGCGTTTTTGACGTCTGGATTTCGAAGGCGGGATGCACCCGAAACCAGGTGGCTTCGTGCGTGCGTGCGTGCGTGCGTGCGTGGGTGGGTGTGTGTGTGTGTGTATATGTATATGTATATGTATATGTATATGTATATGTATATGTATATGTATATGTATATGCATATGTATATGTATATATATATATATATAGATAGATAGATACATATATTGATACATCTATATATTGATATATTGATGTATTGATATATTGATATATTGATATATTGATATATTGATATATTGATATATTGATATATTGATATATTGAGATATTGAGATATTGAGATATTGATATGTTGATATATTGATATGTTGATATATTGATATATTGATATATATGAGGATATTTGATATATTGATATATTGATATATATATGATTATATATATTGATATTGGTATATTGATATTGATGATATATATATATTGATATATTGATATATTGATATATTATATTGATATGATATTGGATATATTGATATATTGATATATATGATATATATTGATATATTGATATATTGATATATTGATATATTATGATATATTGATATATTGAGATATATATATTGATTGATATTGATATATTGATATTGATATATTGATATATTGATATATATATTGATATATTGATATATTGATATATTGATCTATTGATATATTGATATATTGATATGTTGATATATTGCGTGTGCATTTTGTGTATACGTGTGTACATATATACACATATACATATATACATATATGCATATATACATTTATACATGTCTACATGTATACATGTATATATATATATACATATATACATATATATATATACATATATACATATATACATATATACATATATACATATATACATATATACATATATTGTGAGCAGGTCTAAGCACGCACGTTCCATGTGCAGAGCTGCCAGAACCAGTACTGTAGTTTTCCTTTGCATGTGTAGATTTGCAATTCGTATCAATGCCAATATTTTGGCTCAAGTACCGAGCTTGTGCCTTTGAGCACGGTAGAGTCGTACAGTAGCTCCTAGGTTGCTGTGCGGTCCGACCGGACGCACTCAGGCGTAGCTGCACAAGTGCTTGGACTCACGAAGTCGTAAAACAGCGTGACCGGGCTGTGATTGCATTGGCTTAGTGCAAGTCCAGTGCTGGTCGACTTCACAATTGGGGGCTGTTCTGGGAAACGTACAGCTCTTGTGCCTACGGCCCGAGTGGGCAAGCATTGCTTTGCTTGTCTGTCGCGGTCCGTGACCTGGACGCGTGGACTGTGTGCCACGCTTGCGGCCTGTTAACCAAGGCGCGGCGCTTCGCGTGCCACGCCTGCGGCCTGCTAACCAAGGCGCGGCTTTTCGCCTTGTGTTGCGGCAATGTCCGCAGAGGTTGCAGGTCAGGCTGAGGGCGTCACCCTCCTCGAAGCTATCGAGGGTGGAGACGTTCCCTATCCCGAGCGGATGAGCTACGTCGCTTGGCTTAAGTGGCGTAGGGAGACTGGCAGCCGTCCATTGTCCAAGCGGGATGGGGTCAGCACTACGCCAGAGCAAGAGGCGGCTCTCTGGCGGAAAGTCATGAAGTTCCTCCATGACGCCGAAGAGGAGGACGAGGATGAAGAGGAAGAAGAAGAGGACTCCGAGCTAGTCCCTGAGGCCTCGGGCGCTGGAGGCGACAGTCCGCCGCGGGTGGACGTCAGCGCCGCGGCTAGGGAGCTGGCCATGGTCCCTACCGGTGCTGCCTATGTCCCTGCTACGGCACCAGGGTCCCGCCCGGCGGGACCGTCCGGTCCGCCGTCGACAGCAGGTTCAGTGCCAGGCACCGCAGAGGGCTTGCAGGCGGAGCTGCGCGCGATTTTCCGTCCAGACCAAGAACCGGTCGCGGACTACTTGACGCGCGTTTCGCGGATTGTCCTCGCGCTGAAAGCGCATGGAGTCACGGTGAGCTCCCGTGACCTTGACGCCTTAAGCACCAAAGCCACCCTCCTTGCGGATGAGTTCTCCAAGATAGGCGGGGACTGGCATCCTACGAAGATGGTCCGTCGGCTGCGGACCAGGTTCTCGGTCGCGGCTTTGCGCGGTGGCGAGGACCCCGAAGACGCAGAGGAGATTCAGCGCGAAATCCAATGCATCGGGGAGCTTATCCTCGCGTTAGGGGGAAAAGAAAGCTCGAGCCAAGAGAAGGTTTGGAGCTCCCCGTCCGATGTGCCAGTTGAAGCCGTGGGGCCGCGTTCCCCAGGGCTCCCACAGCCTGCGACTGCAAGTGGGTTGGGGGTAGGATTGGACCGTGGAGGTTTGCACACTGCTGAGGTTGCAGGTGGTCCTTCCGCGGCCCGTGTCCTGGGCGCGACGGACGGCGATTCCCCTTTGCGCGCGAAGCTTGCTGCGCTAGAGATGGAGATAGAAGCCCTGAAGCGAGGTTCAGACGGCGGAGGTTCGCAGACCGGGTCCCAACACCCGGCGGGCGATCTCGCCGCCGCACTCGCCGCCCAAACTGAGGCGCTGAAAGAAGCGTTAGCGCAGAGGGGCGGGCAAAGCTCCATAACTACGGTCAAAACTGACCTCACGTGGCCGACGCTGACCGACGACAAGTCGGACGCGCGAGACGTTGTCCTGTTCTACGAGGAGTTCGAGGACGTCTGCGCGCTGGCCAACAACTGTCGCGGTATGAGTGCGCGCGAAAAGCTGTTAGCGCTACGCGGGCGCTGCCGCGGCTCGCGCATGAAGACGTACACGAACGCGTACCGCGCAGCGTGGAAATCGGGAGAGGTTCTCTCAGATCCACAGGCGGTGTATGACCGCATCAAGAACAAACACTTGATGTTCGGGGAATCGCGGGAGGAAAGAGAAGTCCGCGTGGATGGTGAGCACGCCTCTCTCGCTAAGGGTAAGCTCACAGGCCACCAATTCGAGCCTTTGTTTGAGGCCTCGATCGCGGACCTTGAGGCAGTAGGTCTCGGGAAGACCCCTCGAGAGTTGTATCTCTCATACCTCCGCAAGATGCCCCCTTATCTCCAAAAGGAGATCCGGAACGACAAAAGGTTGTGGCCTGGCGACCCCAAGGATGGCGGGTTGCGAGGACCGCAGACTTGGGAGGAGAGCCACAAAGTCGTTCTGGAGTACGAGCAGAGAGAAGCAGCGCACAGGGCTGTTTCCCACTCTGTGTACACGGCCACCGGTTCGCAGAGCGCGGACCCGGCGGTCGCGCTGGCTGAGGCTCAGAAGGAGATTAAGAGTCTCAAGGCCGCTGCGAAGGCTGCTGCGAAAGGAGCAGCTGCCGCGGCCAAAGCTGGCGCGGACCAGACGTATGCTGCTACGTCGAAGGGAGCTGGCAAAGGAGCGGACAAGAAGATCTGCTTCCACTTTCGCGATCATGGGAATTGCCCGAAAGGGGATGCCTGCCCGTACAGCCACGACAAGGAGCTTCGCAGAAAAGCTCTCGCGGCCAAGAAGGGTGACCAAACCTTTGCCACTGCGAAAGGTAAAGGCAAAGGGAAGGGAGGTGGCAAAGCAAAAGCCAACGCAAAGCCTAAGGCTGCGGCCAAAGGCGCGGCAAAGCCACCAGGCACTGTTTGCCCCTTTTTCTCCAAGAATGGGTCGTGCAAGAAAGGAGCCAGCTGCGACATGGTCCACAACCTGACGACCTCAGGAGGGACGCCGGCCTTGCCTGCCAACTGGGCCCCGCCCTCCGGTGCTTCCATGTCTAACCCCTTCGCCGCGTTCAGTGTCCAGATAGGCAGCTCAGGCGTCCAGGCAGGCGTCCTAGGAGCCGCAGGACACGCCGCGGTGCAGCAGCACGCGCTTCCGTTAAGCAAGGGCGGGCGGGACAAGTTCGCCACCTTGGACGATCTACCGAAGGACTGGTGGAACCTGGCGGACAACGAGCCAGGAGGCTACCAGTACAGAACGGTGGTCCAGGTCCTCGACCGCAAAGTCGAGTGCATGCTTGACGGTTGCGCCGGCGCAAACCACGTGACTGAGGAACTCGTGGTAGGCATGATGAACCGGGCTGCAGAGCTTGGGATCGGCACTGAGGATCCTGGCTTTCCGGTCGTGAGACTTGAGAAGTGGGTCCACCCCGAATATGTGCATGGAATCGCATCGGGGGCCCCAGTTCCTTTGAAAGGGGCAGCAGTCTTGCGCGTCACGCTGCTGGAAGGCAAGACGGCGGACGATTGTCGCCCCAACACCGAGATTTTTGCGCGGTGTAAAATCGCAGCCAGAGGCACGTCCGATTGGCACGGACTTATCCTTGGCGGCAGAGCGCTGGACTGCGCCGGAAGGATGGGCTTGGGATTCAGGCCGGGTCCCGACTTTCATGTCCTCGACACGCTGGGAATCAGGATGCCCAGATCACAGTAGGACTCGGAAGGACAGGGCCTATGCCTTTGAAGCGCGGTTGTCAATCCTGGACGACGCGTCATGCATCGAGCCTGGGGGCGGAAGTCGTGAGCTTCTCCGCTATGACGGGGAAGAGCCGCTCGAGCTCTCGCCAGGCGATGGGGTGCTGGTGCCAGTCGTGCGGGAGTCAGGAGTCTCCGCAGAGGGATCCCTGTCCGAGGTTGTGCTTCCGGTTGAGTGTGGGGTTGAGGCTGTGCCAGGTCTCTGGCCCACAGGAGAGGGTAAAGGGTTTGTTTTGCTTGCAGCCCAAGAGTGTGATCACTCTCTCCAGCCAGGCGAGGTTGTTGCGGAAGTGCGTTCCGGCCTCGTCAGCACTGCGGCTTGTGGTTGTGGCGC